CTGTCCCTCTCCCTCTGTTCCTATCCCCCCTGTAGCTTGTGCAATCGTTCTCAAAGTAATAAATAAATAAAAATCTTAAAAAAAAAAGAGGCGACCCTATCGAAGGCTTGGTATGCAGCAGGCACTGAGGGGTTATGTACCTATCTCTGATCACAATTACCAACAAGGCAGCAAGCATCCTTGCCTATTCTAGAGATGCACAACTTGTCTAAGGACATACAGAAGTTTAAGAGCACATGGCTAGGATATGAACACAGCACTTTCTAACTCAAATGCCAGTATTATTTCCACTTCATTATTTCCATAACTTCAGTATTTTCTTGGATACTTCTGATTTGTTTCCTCATTGGCAAAATGCATTTTAAAGCCTTACAACAGGAAAGTTTGATAAAAATCTTCAGGCAGACTCTATGAAACTATACTAAAATAAAGTTAAAAAAAAAAAAAAGTCCTCAAACACAGTCATTACTTCAAATTAAAAAGCTTAAGAAAGAAAAAGAAATCCTCACAGAGAACTATGGTTGTCTGGGGATAATGAGTTTGATGTTCTGTTTTATGGATTTGGGAAAAAAATTACTAAATTTCCATTATTTTTACCAATTCAAGGTCAAGTTCTACATGACTAAGAAATAAGCATTTCTAAGGAAGTTAACCTAAAACTATTAACAATGCTAAGTGATACATATGCTGTTATAATAACTTGAACATGTAGGTCTTTTTTCACCTAGAGAAATGTGAGTATTTATGTCTAAATGCTAAAAACCCAGGAAACTTTTCTCATGACAGCATGCTAATTCCAAATAAATTTATCCACATACATAAGGTCCACAGAAATTTTTTAGCTTTAAATGTTTATGTTCTTGGGGCGCCTAGGTGGCTCAGTGGGTTGAACGTCAGGTCACGATCTCATGGGTCATGGAATCAAACCCCAAGACTGAGCTCTGTACTTTGCTGGGAGTCCGCTTGAAGATTCTCTCCCTCTGTCCCTCCCCTAAGCACATGCTCTCCCTTCTCTAAAATATAAATAAATCTTTATTTTATTTATTTATTTATTTTAAAGATTTTACTTATTTATTTGACAGAGAGAGAGAGAGATCTCAAGTAGGCAGAGCAGCCGGTGGAGAGAGGGGGAAGCAGGCTCCCTGCTGAACAGAGCCTGATGCGGGGCTTGATCTCAGGACCTGAGATCATGACCTGAGCCGAAGGCAGAGGCTTAACCCACTGAGCCACCCAGGCGCCCCATAAATAAATCTTTAAAAAAATGTTTATGTTCTCTTAAAAATTTGATCATTCAATAATTTTATTCTATTTGCCTCAAACCTTTTCGTATCACTAAATGAAGTAGTCATGGTAACAAATATCTCAAGAGTCTTAAACCTTTAAGTTTCCAAAATTGAAATGATAAACACTTTCTTTTTGTCCTCCCTCCGAAAAGAGGGCACTTATTTTTTCTTCCACTTTCCTTACAGTGTCATTTTCCTTCTGCTTTAGAGTTTACAATATATCACACAAGCTCAGAGTACATTCAGGAGCAAGAAAAATTACTTAGATATAAATGCTTACATTATAATAACATGTCCTTTTTAGTTTAAATAATACAAATTTGGACTCTATCTGACCTGAGAGTTCTACTTTTTATATTAAGAACAAAGTTTAGAAGAAAAACAACGTAAATAACATTTTTTTTAAGGTGTGGTAAGTCAATCCGTTCTTTTATTTGTTTATTTTTTAAAAGACTTTATTGATTTATTTGACAGAGAAAGAGAGCACAGGGGGAGTGGCAGGCAGAGGGAGAGGGAGAAGCAGGCTCCCCACAGAGCAGGGAGCCCAGTGTGGGGCTTGATTCCAGGACCCTGGGATCATGACCTGAGCTGAATGCAGATGCCCAACTGACTGAGCCACCCAGGCGCTTCTGTAAGTAAGATTTTAATGAGAAGAATATGAAAAGAATGTTTAGAATTCAATTCAAAGACAAAAAGGGCAGAGATGAGTAGAAAACAGTAATTTATTCTTTCCTTCATAAGCAATTTTAAGTAATCCTTAAATTGTGTGACAGTAACAAAGCACCACAATACTAGGTAACTTTACATGGCTGGGTTTATAAGAATAGTGACTGGAAAACTTAGATAGTCTGCTTCCTCCCAAGATTAAGCTGTCACCTGGGGGGAAGGTGATGGCAATATAACCCAAGTTTGCAAGAGGAACTTACAAACAGAATATCGTACCTTTTTTCCCCTTCAACTTTGAGAAATGTGAGAGACTTAAGAACTACTGTCCATGCTTTCTGTATCAAATCCCTAGAAACAGTGGTCTTTACTTTTTAATCCTTTGACCAGTGATACAGTAACAAAAATCAAACAAGATAGAAGTTTATAGTGAAAAGTTTGACTCTCACCTTCACCCCCAGTCCATCATCAATCCAGTTCCCTCTCCTACACCCTGTAAGAATTTTTACTGGTTTCTCGTGTGTTCTTTCAGAGACTCATTACACAGTTCTTCATTAAAACAAAGTAAGATACAAACACACACCGTAATGCTTTTCTTTGTACCAGCTATCTCAATCCAACACGACCTAAATAATGCCTGACTACACTTGCTCAGTGCCTTCATGAGCTCTTTGGCTCAAGGCTGATAGCAAAGCTTTAAGCAAGCAGTATCTCAGAAAAAGCAAAAGAATGGTGAACAAAGGTGACGACAATAGCTATAATTAAATAGCCACAACCAACAGAAATATAATCAATCTATAACCTCACCAGCAACATTAAGGCAAAAGAACTAGTTTTTAAAAATCCCTAGCACACTCTCAAATGAATAAATAAAATCTTAAAAAAAAAAAAAAAAAAAAAAAGCAGAGGGGGGCACCTGGGTGGTTCAGATGGTTAAGTGTCTGCCTTCAGCTCAGGTCATGATCTCCGGGTCCTGGGATCGGGCCCCATGTCAGGCTCCCACCTTAGCAAGTTGTCTGCTTCTCCTCCCTCTGCTTCTCCCCCTGCTTGTGCTCTCTCTCTCTCTCTCTCAAATGAATAAAATCTTTAAAAATTAAATAAATAGAAATAAATAAAAATTCCTAGCACATTACCTCTTTATTACACATCATCTACATCATAGTAAACAAATGTATGCTGAATAAATGAATAATAAATCTCCTTCAAGGCTATCTTTGAAGGTTTGGGAAAGGGTAGATGACTAGGTAGATACAGGAGAGTTAAGAAATTTTGTCCAAAATTGCCCTTCTAATATTTAAAAGTTGCTATGACTATTTTGGAAAAGATAATCCAATGGTATGATTGTGAATCTACAAGAAATGTGAATCTACAAGAAAATTAACTGAAAGAAAAAAAGAAACATGAGGTCAAAATTCCTTAGACACAGATCACTTGAAAAATGTCCTTCCTAATGTTAATATGACAAACCTTAATTATAATTAGATATTTAATACTCATGCTTACATACCATATTAGCTTTAGCCAATTCAAATTCAGACTTGTGTAGAGTTGTGTTTTTACTATATATGTCATTTTACTGTACACTACAGTCCCTTTTACAAAATCTACAGCATATTTAATCTTTCTTTGCTAAAAGAATTCCTTTTCAGTCTTTCTGACATGATGATGTACAATACCGAATCGCTATAAGACAAAACAAAAAAATCTTTAGCACACTATTAGTATGCTTAAAATTAACCTATTAGCAAGGACACAAATATATTAGGTACAACATATAACTGTGTACCCAGGCACTTGTTTTTATTATGGGCTGGAAATAAAAATAGAAGTGATAAGAACCAAATAAATGGTACAAGCAAGAGTCATAGAAATGTAGCACAAGGACAGTATACTTGAAATAATCAGGAGATGCATTAAAGAGGCAGCTACTGAAGTGGATCAAGGAAGTCTGGTTTCAAGGAGCAGAAAATGGGGTAGGGTCTTCAGCCTGGAAAACAGTGGGGAGTCAAGACAAGAAGCTTAGTATGGTAAAATATCTAAGGCAGGGAATAGTGAACTCTGGTCCATGGGCCACATCCAGCCCCCTGCTTGTTCTTGCATAGCCTATAAACTACCAAAGATTTTTACATTTTTAAGTGATTGAAAAAAATTAAAAGAATATTTTATGACACACAAAAATTGTGAAATTCCTATGTACAGTTTTATGGGTACACAGCCATACCATGTACTGTCTATGACTGCTTTTATACTATATGGCCGAGCAACAGAGACTGTGTGAATCATAAAGCCTAAAATATTTACTATCTCTGGCCCTTGAGAGAGAAAGTTTGCCAACATCTTCTTTTCGGAAAGCTCATGTCGCTGAGGCACTCTGAGTGAGGGGCTGAGAGGACAAAGAAGCCAGAGAGGCGAGAGTTGCATGCAGGCCACAGCAAGGATTTGGGTCTATATTCTAGTAACAGGGAAGCCATTAAAGTAAACAGGAAAGTGACAAGAAGGTTTGCATTTTAAAAAGTTAATTCTGGTGATCATATTGTTAACCAGTAATAGAAAAGTAAGGAGGCTAGTGCAGTAAGTAGTTTAAGCAAGATAATGAACACAGTTTAGGCTATACGGCAGGCAAAGTAAAATAAGGAGGCTGGGCAAGATTATTTCTGAGATCCCTTTTAGCTCTAAAATTTTAAGAATCACAGAAGTTTCTAAATATTTCTAATTGGTATTTCCAATTATCACATACAAGTCTCAAAAATATTATACTATAAACAGCTCTCCAATGGTTAGTAAATTAGAAATATGCCAAAAGAGCATAAAGCATCTAACGAGTTTGGAAATTACTGAGGAACAAATGATCCTCTCCATTAGAATGCTTTCTAAAATATGGTTTATATTTTATACTTGTCCTGGAAAGGACAAGTTTTATGAAATTTGTGATTAAAGATTTACAGATCATATGTAATAAATTAACACAAAGGGGGAACAAACACAAACATGCTTAAATATATTTTCACTGCACTTTTCCCCCATAATGTAGCAATGAGGAAACAAAGAACATACCTGCTACATTCTAACAATGTAACTTTAAGGCGGCCTTCAGTAAGTGCCCATTGTTGTATATGGATTTGCTCTTCTTCATCTTCTTCAAATCCTTGCGAAGTTTGGAATGGAAAAAACGGCTTAAACCTGAGAAAAGTAAAGATAAGTCTAAATTTTTGGACAATGAACACCACAGTTTAAAGAGCAGTATTAACAAAACCTACCTGAAACATAAAACAAAAATCTAATACTGCATGAGCTTTAAAAATCCAAAGCCTATCGTACATACTCCCCTACAACTGGCAGTGGATGGTATCTCCTCTACGGCACCCAGCTTCTCCTGTGTTTTTTTGTTGTTGTTGTTTTGTTTTGTTTTCTTTTTTTTTTTTTTTTGGCATCCCCTCACTGACAAGACAGGACACTTATAAAAAACAAAAAGAAAATCGAAAGACCACCATTAGGCCCTGAAACGTGGGTGGGACAGGACAGTGATTCTTTCTGGACCAGAAGGCAAGAGTGTTTCTACAGTGTAAGATCAAAATTCAGAATACCGTGTTCCTGGAAACAATATAATTCACAGTAATTTGTACATGATAATGATTAATAACAACAACTAATGGTGGCAAAGGTATTCATCAGAATTGCCTACTATGTGCCAGGCAGTGTGCTAAGAGCTTTCCAAGCTTTCTCTCATGTAATGCTCACAAACCTGGGAGGATGACAGAATTAGCTTCCCTTTCCAGATGAGAATAGTGAGTTCTCTAAGTTAAAGGATTTGTTCAGTGTTACACAGTGGGTGGCAAAACCAGAATTCAAGCTAGTCTGACTCCATCAAAGCCCAAACACTTCAGTTACCTATGAATAATTCAGGCCTATATGTGCTGCTTCTTTAATACTCTGGGTTTCATGGAGACGCTTGTGTTATGAACTACAGGCTTTAAAAACTTTAATTTGAAATTTGAAATATAATCCATACTCCTTCATTAAAGCAAAGGACAAGGAAAATGAAGAGAATATTGGGCTCAGGGGTGGGGAGCCTATAATTTTCAATTTACCTTACACACGGTCACCAGACATAGCAGCTTCAATGGCTTCTCACCAACCACACACAATAAGAGACCGTCAAAGTTTTTGGTTTCACATCCAAGGTCCACCACGATTAATCTTTCTAATGGCATTTTTCCTTATGAAACCTTCCTGGGGTGCCTGGGTGGCTCAGTAGGTTAAGCCTCTGCCTTAGGCTCGGGTCACGGTCTCAGGGTTCTGGGATCAAGCCCCGCATGGGTCTCTCTCTCAACAGGGAGCCTGCTTCCCCTCTGCCCCTCTCCCTGCCTGACTCTCTGCCTACTTGTGATCTCTCTCTCAAATAAATAAATAAAATCTTAAAAAGAAAAAAAAAGAAACCTTCCTATCTAGAGAGTGTAGTCACTTCATGTACTCTGAAGATATTATGCACATTCCTGCTTTCAGGCCTTTTGAACTAACTGAATGTTTTCCCAACTTCTTAAAGCCTAGCCAAATCCTAAACACTTTCTATAATCGGCTTTAGGTCAGAGCACACACTGCTTTCACTCTTCTTTATTTTGTAGTCATTTAAATTGCTGTGCATTTATGCCTTGAAATCTCAAATGTGACTTACACTGTTTGTAACCCTCATGCACACAATCAGGACTCAAGTATGTGTTGAGCTGATTTATAAAAATCCAACACTAAAAATGAAATAAACATTTAGAATATATTAATAGCTTACTATAGTTTATACCGAAAGATATTGATAGCAGGGAGAAATACTGTTTTACAGTTTCCTAATTAACAGGATCAAAGGAAAAACTTTAGGGAAAGATAAGTAGGTATATAAACAAATGTTCAGTGCTTTTATCCTGCCTCTGAATTAGGGGGAAGGCAGAAAGTCCTTCTCAATTCCTGAATTTGCATTTGAAGTAATTTGATTGAAACTGGCATCAAATTTTTAAAAGGAAAAAAATTAGGAACTAAATCCATTATTACTACATTATTGTAATTGAGTGCTTGTAACACACACGTCTTATGGCTCCTACAGAACACATCAATGTCACTCATAAAACATTACAAAGATCACTCTACTATATACAATCAACTTTGAATATAACAATCCAGCTAAATCATAGCTTCTCTATGAATCAACTTTTCTTGTTATATATAAACTTAAAATTCAATAAAAACATTTCCCACAGGTGTGTGAGTTCAAAGTTCTTTGGAATTAAGTCTAACTTGATTTATTAATGCCGCTAGCAGCGTTTGCTAAAAGTGTTTATGCACAAAAGTACACTAAAATCACAAAACTGAATTCCATTTACTAATAACACACTAAGATAAAGCTAGTTGTTCACCAAGCTACTAAATAAAATCCACATATTCACATTCTCTAAGGATACTTTGCTTTTCAAAACTTTTAAGTCCAAGGCTTTAAGTATCCCCAAACCATAGAGAAATCTAAACAATAAGGCAGGCTACCCCTTCCTTTTACCTCCCTATCCTACCACATTATCCTTCCTCAGAATTCATGAACCTTTTCTCCTGTTAACCTATCAACTTAGAAATGTCACTGTTTTCTCATTCAGTTCCCTGAACAAGCTACTTGTACTTCCTCCTCCAGAAGCCTTCGAAATCCAACCCAGAAAGATCAACTTCTGAAATGAGAGAGCTCCACGGACCCTCTCTTCAATAAAACTGGTGGAAATTATTAAAATAGAAACAAAACCAGAAAGAAAACACATAAAACTTCTGACATGTCCCTAAGGGTAAACAGCAAAGGAAGGAACTTATATTCAAGAAACTCTACAAAGATTCGGTAAGAATTCGGTGCCTACACCAAGATGGCTCCCTCCAGCGAGCTCAGCAAGGAAGAGACTCACCGCAAACTGCTGCAGCCAAGACGGGCCGCGCACCCCCAGCTCCCAGGCGAAGGGGGTCCCGTGCCTTCCTAAGACTTCCCAAGAGCAAGAGCAGCAGTGTTTCTCATTCGGCCTTCGGCTGCCTAGTACTGAGGCTGAATTCCAGGGATGGGAGCTCCCTTCCTTGCCCCTGCCCCCATCTGTGGAAGGGAGGTTTCACCTTGGGCCCAGCGCCCTGATCATTTTGCTCTGGCTCATGATGCAATGGGTCTATGTCAAGAGAGGCAAGCCTAAATTACCTCAGGCTGCTGCCCCCAACTCCCCCACCTCACACCTGTTTCTAGAGTGGGGGTGTCACAGAGAAGCTTGCCACTGTTCCCACTCCCATCTCCAGAGCCCTGGCTCAAAATATTTGCTAAGGGGGCTGTAAACGGAAAGGCACACTGTAAAAAATAAAAAAACTCCTAATCTCTTCCCGAAGGAACTAAGAAGCTCAAACCTAAGTGTGCTCTTAAGAACAAGGGAGGTTGTGATGTCAGGCAACTGGAAGGAGATTCATGGATTTAATGAAGATAGAGCCTATAATAAACCCTGCCTAGTTTACAGGAAATAAGACAGCCGGGAGATGTCTCCAGGGGTCAGAACAAGTATCAAATACAGACCTCAGAAATTATTCCTTCAAAGAAGCCATAATTTGACTGGATTAGATGGCAGAACAATATATGCCCTAGGGTACTGGTGAAAACAATAGGCACAATGGGGGTGTAGGGTAGACTTCACTAAAATAACCCAGGCAAGCACTAAAAAACAAATAAATAATAAAGCTTGAGGGGGAACCAGCGCTCAAAGTTGCTATAATATTATCTAAAGTATTTAATTTCCAACAAAAATTGTGAAAAATAAAAAGAATCAGGAAAGCAGATTTCTTTCTGACCCATAAAGCAGAAAACAGGCAAAACAAACTGCCAGTGAAAATGACCAGGTTTTGGATTTAACAGAAAAAGATTCAAAATAGCCATCACAAATATGTTCACAAAAAATTTTAATACCATGATTAAGGAGGTAAAGGGAGGTGTTATGCCAATGTCATATCAAATAGAGAATATATAAAATATATATATATTATATATAAATATATAAAATAGAGAATATATAAAAATATAGGAATTATGTATATTAAAATAAAGAAAGTGGGAATTCCAGAGCTGAAAACTAACAACTGACATAAATTTACCAAAAGGGCTCTCAACCATAAACATGAGCTGGCAGAAGAAAAGACTAGTGAATTTGACGATAGAGCAACAGAGGTTATGCAAGCCAAAGAACAAAGAGAAAAAGGTATAAAGAAAAATGAACTAACCCTTAGAGAAATGTGGGAGATCATTAAGTACACCAACACACACATAATGGGAATGCCAAAGGGAGAGAAGGAGAGGGGAGGGGAGGGAGGGGAGCAGAACAAATAGTAAAAGAAGTAACAGGGGCTGCCAGTAAGCCCTAAAGCCACAAATTCTATGATTCCATTCATATGAAAATCCAGAATAGAGAATCTATAGAGACAGAAAGTACATTAGTACTCAGGGTTGGAGTGATATGAGGGTTAGGAAGAGAACAGCTGAAGGATAGGGGGTTTTATTTTTGAGGTGAATATCTGTGAATATACTAAAAATCACTGAATTGTAAGCTTTCAACAGGTGAATTTTATGGAATATGAATTATACCTGAATAAAACCGTAAAGAAAAATCCCAACCCAGTTTACAGAAAGAATTTCTTTTTGTAGCTTTGGTATATAAATGTTTGGTTAGAATTATCTGATTAAATAAGAAAAAAAGGATAAAATAACTTCTAGCCCCTTTTAAGGCTTACAAAAAACAAAGATTTATTAAACAGTTACCAGATCACTAAAAGCCACTTGTTTGCTCACTTAATCCTTACAACCACCCCAAAACTGGGCATTCTAAGGTCTAACTAGGTCTTAGAGGTCTCACAAATACTATACACTGAAGCCAAAACTGGAACTTGTATTAGTCTGCTAGGGCTGCTGAAACAGAGTATCACAAACTGTGTGGCTTAAAAAATAGAAATTTATTTTCTCATAGTTCTGGAGGTGGAAAGTCCAAGGTACCAGGTTAAGGTACCAGGAGGTTTGGTTTCTGGTAAGGTCTCCTCCACTTGCATATAGGCACCTTCTCGCTGTGTCCTCTCATGGCTTTTACTCTCTGTACATACACTCCCAATGTTTTTTCTTATAAGGACACTGGTCCTACTGAATT